GGCCGAGGAGTTGATCAGACCAAAGACGGAGATCATGGCGCAGAACGCCCCAAACACGACGAGCCAACCCTCGGTTCCGCCCTCGGGGAAGTCGAGAGTAGTGGCGGTCGAGACGACTCTGTCAATGGCGGGTCCATTGTTGTCGTTTTCGTTGTCATCGGAACATTCAAGCGGCGGCTGAACTGCTTCGAGACCGATGTCCAGATCGGATGAAGACCGGGGGCCTTCTTTGGAAATTAGAGAGCCTTCCTTTTCTAGAATGCCTGAGTCGTTTGGCGTTTTCGTCTGGTGCACCTGGCCCTCGTGGGGCCGCTGAATTTCTTGGTTGTTTAGGCAGGTGTCCTCTGCATCGATTCGGTTTGCCGTCATTTATCAATCACTGGTCAGGAGCTGAGGTCTGCCAAGAGTCAACAGCGTCTCGAGTGCCGGTGAGAGATTGGGTGGGGTTGGAGTCGAGGGTGCTTCTTCCTTTCCCGAGCACTGGTGCGGCGTTGACGTTCCCAAGTGGCTCCAGACGCACGTGAAGATTTTGAAGTCCCAAAGAATTGCCACTTCCCCTGGGTTGAAAACTTCTCCATCATGCTCACGGGTATGCACGTGAGGGTCCACTTGATGCCGTCGGATGGGTCCGAGCCACGGAATATTCGCTTCATAGCGCTAGCCCTAAAATCCAAAGGGGGTTGACGTAACCAGAAGTCAGCACCAACCGGCAGTCATCCGGCAATATAAACCGGAGCCGAAGCGGCGTGCATTCCTTCGAGGTTCGTTAATGCCGTCTGTACTGGGCATTGCCGGATATATGCAAAGACGCAGCCCCGAAGTCGGCCCATTCCGACAGCATCCATTGTGGCTCACCGACTGCTTTGTGTCTGGTATAAGCGCAGATTCAAGTTCGCAATGATTGGCCCGCACGAATGAAGTGTTTGCAGCGGGTCGACAATGTAAATTCCCTCCAAAACGCAACGACCTACCTCAACATAAAACTCCTCCTCGGACCCGTGTTCCAATCCCTCAAAGCATTCTCTCCGCCGACTTGGTCATAATAGCGCACTTTCAGCAACCCCCTTCGAAACGAAACACCCGTCACATGATCGGTCCGCACAACCAGACACACAATCACATCCGGCTCGCTGCGCTCAAACAGGTCGATGCGCCGCTTCTTGTTCTTCTTTCCCTTCTTGTCTGCGGCCTGAATAGCGCGGTACACATCCTGTCGCGGTTTACCGTACGTGCCCAGCACTACGCACTGATATTCGTTCTTCTCCAAGCGGACATATAGCTCGTCCCAGGAGGATGGACCCATCGAGATGCACACGGCGATGTCGCGAGAGCGCCGTGAGGCGGTGAGGCGCAGCTTGTAGGGGCTAAGCACGAAGGCCTCAAAGTGTAGTGAGCCCGCCGTCAGCAGCTCGCGGATTCGGTATTGTTTGTACTGCAACGTGCCCTGGTGCATTAGCTCATAGTAGTCTTTGAGCTGGCCGTTGGGAAACCCGATCCGCACAGAGCTGCTGAGAAGGCTCGTCCAGCAGTACGGCAGGTCATCCCGGCTCCGGACTTCGCCGAACCAGCCCGCCCAGGACCAAGAGGGGAAGCCGTGCCGGCGTTGCGCCTTCGGGTTGGCGTCGGGGGTCCATGGAAGTTGTTCTAATCCGGGTCGGCCTTGTCTGGATGGTGACATTTGTTGGACGATCTGCCGCGGAAACTGATGGTCGAAGTTGTCTACTTCATGTGACCAAGCCAGGGCGTAGGTCAGATGGTCGAGCCCCTCCTGCCTGTTGCCCGAGCGAAGATTAGCAATGGGGAAAGGGATGGGGATCCCCGCCAGGCTGGCGATCATGGCCGTCGTCTTGGCATAGAAGCGCGCCATGGCGGCAAAGGCGTTGAGCACGTCGTCCTTGTTAGTCAGTTCGCGGCGGGTGTACTGCGCAATCTGGTACTGGCAGCGGCGAAGCATGTCGATCTTGCGATGGTTGGCCTTGTTGTGCCGCACGTCGAGGTGGGAGTACGGGGTTGAGTTCCCGCACACGAACTGCCCTGCGCGATGGTAGGCTCGGAACCGCTGGCCGTTTCGGATGTGAAGAATGTCGAGCTGGCTCTTGAAGGACTCCTCCTCGTTCATGGCGTTGCACTCAAAGTAAAGCTGGTGGTCGGTGAAGAAGAGACGACGCGTCGAGAAGAGCCCTTCCTGGTATGTCCAGCCTCGGGTCGACCATTTGCTCCCCCTGATAGCCCTGTGCGGGTCCGGCATGGTTGATATGAACCGGAACTGGCCGCTGCGGCCCACTTCCTGGCGTAACCGGGGCGTCGAGCTCACACCCGGGAGTCCAGCATTGGAGTCCTCTCCGAGGGCGAATATGGCCACCTGCGATCCGGCATAGATGTCTCCCATGCGACCAAACTGCTCGCGTTGCTCCGCCGGATTATTTTGGTCTATGCAATACTTGTCTACCCACAGGTAACGGTATCGTAGGGCCTTGGTCACCTCGATCGCATCTCGGATGGTGAGTGGGATGTCTTCGGGGAGCTTCAGGACGGTGCGCTTGATGGTGCTCCTCGTTGCAACGGCTTCATGTTTGGCTGGACCCGTGCTTCCAGGTTGCCCCCAGACGTAGCTTAGAGCCACGTAGTTATCGCCGGGCTCGTAATCTTTAATGGTTAGATGCTCGGACTTGCAATCGATGACCCTCATCCCTCTCACGTCTGGTGGCTTCGGGTTGCAGCGGCTGCGGTGACCTTTGCACGTCCGTAGCCAAGAGAGGACCCGCTTTTCATCAAACATTCTGGGGATTGGCTGTGGTTGGAAGACCTTTGACTCCTGGCGACCCTCAGGCAAGACCACAACCAGGCCTCTCGTCGCGATGTGTTCTTTCAACTCCTCTCTCCAACTAGGGGCGATGGGGACGACGGCAATGTGATATGGCGCTTCGTGGGCTCGGAGGACATTCCTCCCTGTCTGAAAATCGCTGACGTGGTGGACGTGTCGCAGATTAGGGAACACGTGGATTCGATCTCCTACGTCCTCGATCACCTTGCCCTCAATCCAGCGCCGACGCTCAAAAAACTTCTCTATCCAGGGAGCGTGCAGCTGGCGGCAGAGCATGCAGGTTTTGTTGGGATTGGGATCCAGCTTTCGGAAGCGCCGTCCCACATCGGCAACGGCACGCCCTTTCCAGGTGACGCGCAGCTGTTCTTTGACGATCCGCTCGATGCTATCCCAGCATATTTTTGAACACTCGTCGCAGAGTGTGCTGGCTTCGATGGTTTGCGACTCAGTATTCAGTGGGGCGTGGCGTTGGCGCTTGGTAGAGGCCGAGCTGCTCACGCTCTGGCGTGTGTTGCTCTTGCTGCTTTCGCCTGATGGGGCGCGTCTCCTCTTGCCTAACACGGCAATTCGTGGTGACGCAGAATGTTGTTGCTCAGGGCCTCTGCCTCTGGTCTCGTCATTGGAGGCCTGTAATTTTCTTATGAGGAGCTGAAATTTTGATAAGCTTGGGTGGGACGGTCAATACTCACAGATCGTCCCCGCTCCGAGGATCGTTGGACATGAGGGACTCTGCCAGGAGAGTTTGTACCCCTGGTCGGGTTATTGTCGCGATGTTGACTCACAGAAATCACAAGGTTTGCTGTTTTAGGAGGCATTGTGTTCTTTGCGAATTGATGACTTTAAATGGAGCTGTCATGTTGGTACGAGTGGATGATGTGATGGCCCCATCCGCGTCATCCAGCCACTTGGATCTGGGATATAATAGGCACCTAGGCATGTCGAAGGCTGCGAGTGACTCATTTGACACGTCATTTGACACGTCACACCTTTGCGACTAGAACTAATCGAGGCAGCCTGGCCGCTGGCGTGGTCAACCTCGACGTCAAACATGCCAAGGCGCTGAAACCGTCGTTGGTGGCTTTGTGCGCGACAACCTCGAAAGCAACCAGCTTCAACGGCTGTTGCAGACCACGCAGGGTGTTAATCTGTGAATGGTCAATACCGTCGGGATCCTGATATCCAGGGCTTTTTTTTCATGTCAGACAAGGCGCACTTGGAGCGTATGCGCCGCCATATTGGGGCCGTATTCGTGCCAGCCTTGCCAGAGCCGTCGCACTCATGAAACCGCCCTATTCACATACCAGTCACAGCCCTGCTTCAAGACCGCATCCTTTATCAAACTTGCTGTCCCCACATCCCTGGTTGGGGTAAAGAGAGGAGGGAGACAGTCAAGTTTACTCAAACCTGTCAGTCTGGCAGATCGCACATGTAAACCTTCTTCTCCTCGGACCGACGAACCACCAAAGCAGTTCAAGATTGCGAGTCAATACGGTACCACCTCTCCGCTTCTTCGTCTCAATAGACCCTCAAATTTAGCCAAAATCTCTCTACCATCTCCCGCCCCCAACTCAAGCCCAGAAGTCGGCCCCTTAACCCCCTCCATCTCTATTCGCAGCGGTCAACCTGGCCTTTCTCGCTCTCGCTTCAGGATTCGATTCAGAGTTGGCTGTCTGCTCTGACTGGACTTTTGGAGTCGTTGATCTGTTGTTGTTCTCACTTTTTGCCCTGCTGAGGGATGGGGGGAGGTCTCCGTGACTCCGTATGTGATGCTCGTTGGTGTCTTAGTTAAAATATCGGGATGATGAACGTGATGGAAGAAAAGGCAATTTGCAAGGCAAACGGCAATGCGGACTTCAGTTTCAATGCACTTTGGTGGCTCGGGCGACAGTCGACATCCGCCGCCGTGCCCACCCCGCAGCGCCTCCGGTCCGGGCCGAGATGCCTCGGCGCCACTCCCGGATGTCTCACCCACCGGCCACGGCTCCCGATCGGTGGAGCGCCAACCCCGGATCAGTACACTCGCAAGCAATGCCCGGAACAGGTGGCCCGTCCCAATGCGTCGAGCGCCGACCCCTGAAGACTGGAACCTCGGTGGAGATGCCGTTCCACCGTTGGATCACATTTGGACAAAAAGGGAACGCGATCGAAAAGGGGTTTCACGCGGGAACCCAAAAATAGGTCGTACCCGGAATCGAACCGGGGTTACCGGAATTTCCAAGCTGGTGTTGAATCAGAATCCGATGTGATGACCGCTACATTATACAACCGTTTTGACGTGTTTGCTTGTGGATTAGCTGACATCACCATTTCAGGGCGCACGTTGAGAGCCAGGAGATGGCCACCTGGGCGGAGCAAACAGCGAGTTTTGAAACGAAAAGGATGGGTGATGGGATTGGCGGTTGACGAAACAATTCCTACGGCTGCTGCGCTCGCAACTGTGACGACGGAGCAAACGAGGGATTAGTGGCTTGAGTTGCGATGCTCGCACCCTCTTTGTGTGAGCTGCATGCCTCTGCTGCCAGCGAGTGACGATCGCACCCGTTGCACCGTGTGGTTGAAGATTGGCCCGGGGATACAATGCGCACCTCAGGGGGCTGCGGCTTGGGCCGGGAACGGCTCCCGCGTCCATCTCCCGCTCCGTGAACAGCGAATGACGGCGTGCTGCGCGTGCCCGCTGCCACCACGGGGCTTCCAAGACCGTCTCACGTCAGCGTCGTAGGACAACAACTCGAGAAGGCCGATCTTTGCAGCGTTGGACAGGGCACGTTTTGTTGCCCTGAATGCGACGAGTTTTGTTTCCAATACAACAACAGGCGGAGGTTGGAGTGATCGCTTGAGGTGTTCCCGGTGTTGTCGTTGCGGGGATGCGTGGATGGCCGTGCAGGTGTATGAACAGAACGCGATCGCGCTGCAAGGAGCGGACGTTGATCCGTGAGCAGAGACGCTAAGCAAGGGCGCTAGGAGCACAGACACGCTTGTGCAAACCTTCCCAGCTTGTGCAATGGGATGGAGGGGTTCCAGCCGTGTGGAATGGGCCCGTGTGAAGAGGTTCAAGTTCCCTGGCTGATGCAGAAACCCTGTTGTTGACCCAACGAGGCATTGCATAGTTTGCGGTATAATGTCCAAGGTTGGGTGTGATGCAGCAAGTCGGGCACGTCGTCACTCGTTTCTGATCTGAGCTGTCAGCATTTGGCAAGGGGGGAAACTGCTGGTTCAGATTGATGAATCGAGCGAGGCATGTGCTTCCCCGGTCTCTCCTTCAATGAACCTCGAGAGGCCTGCTCGTGCGTGGCTGCATCTCCCTCGTTGTGGCGTTATCGCTCTGCTGCAGGGGCATGTCGTCCACATCGGAGAGAACTGGAATACCCCGCATAGGGCAAACCGCGCTCCCGTCAACCCTCGCCCTCAACGTACGCGAAGACGACCTCGGTCGAGCTTCTCAGCGCCAGCGTGTGCCTTTTTCTTTCTGGAGAACGCGCCTCAGACACATTCGGCATCGGCGTCGCATTGTTCGAAGGTTCGATTCATCTTGCTCGGGTTTCACTGCAGTTCCTGCGGCAGAGTGGGGGAATGGTACGCGCCTCATTGGACCCTGGGTGGGGGGCCACCCGGCCATTGCCGGGGTAAGTGGGTAGTCGCTAACGATTTCCTCTCCCGAACCAGCGTCGACCTGATGAGAGCAGGACCGTCTTCAACTCGACCGCGGAAAAACGGTCATTCTCGACGTGCACAAAACCGCAACAAACCATGCGAGGAAACGACGGTTATTGCCAGCGCCTGTTTATAGCGTGTTTCAACCACATCAGGGCGCCCGGTGGTTGCGCGCAAACGCACGGAGCGGGACCGCAGTCAGCGTGGTAAGCATGGCCCTGTGCGTGCGGGCGCGGGCAGCCGTCGGCCGTTCCACCGTTGCGCCCGCCCACGATTCCCAGACCATCGCGATCGCAATGATCGATTGTGAGCCACCGGTGAGACGGCGTCGCAGCCTCATCCGGGGGCACCACGGTCAAAACGGCTCTGGGGATTTTCTGCAGCGCAGCGCAGAGGGCACGCAACGCAACGTCGCGTCCCGCACCTCCGCGAAAGGGGGGGTGGCACAAGACCGGCCGATGATGAACGCGTGCAGTTGCGCGCGCAAAACCAAACCAGCGAAAAGCTGACGCCTCGCAGCGCGCTGCAGGCTAATTAGCTGAACAGGTAGTTTGCCGCAAGTCAGCAGCCCAAAAGTGCTGCAAAGGGATGGCCGCTATCAGTGCCAATACCATTACACGACTGCATCCCGGCATCGCTTTGCTTGGCCTCTTATCAGCGGCATCGAAACCCCACATCCTCGCCAGTGCCAGTTTGACGCTTCTTGCGCCCGCCTTCCCTCGTGGTGCTAGGGCCCGGCGACAGGGTTCAGGCCACCACCGGGTACGACGGGGCACTTTACTCTGGTGCTCGCCATTTGCCCGTTGTAGGGCTGCCGTGGCCGCGCGATATTGGCACCGCGAATTGTCGTTGCGCTCGCTGCGGTGTTCTTTTGCGCTCGACGTCGCAACAGCCACTGCCGAGCTTCAGCGACGTCGCAGTCAGCTGTCGGGTCCCAACGCTGTGTGCGCGCGAGCGAGCGCTGGCTTCTGGGCGTTGGCCAGGCCGACGCTGGAAAAGACCGACCAGTGGGATGCGAGCACGGTGATGCGTCTCGAAGGGGAACCGAAAGGATTGGCTGCTTTGGATGGACCCCCCCTTACACCCCCAGAAACGGACACTCCAATCGATAACTCCCCGGCGCCCGATACGCTGTCAACCAGGGAGCGAGCAAAGGGTGGAAGAGGAGGGGAGCAGACGAGCAAGGGAGGAAAACGTGAAAAGGCTAGGGCAACTCCAGACCACAAGCCGCTTTTGGTAGGGATTCGGATGCTGTGTGCAGATTCCGGGAGATAAGATTGGACCCGAGCGAACGGCTTGTTCCCCATCGACGAAACGTGCAGCACGCGCTGCGGCCAGGCCCAGTAGTGTGTGGTGCTGCATCAGGAAGGCAGCGTGGGTCCGTTCCGTGGACAGGAGGTCGACATTGTCGCCATGCCGGTCTGGGACTCTGCGAGGTGCTGCTGCTGCTTGGGAGTAAATAATGTGCCTCGGTGCCGCCACGGAAAAAAAGCAAGCTGCGGGCTGGTAGTCCATAGTTTTTCTGGCGGAGAGACTGATAATATCCTCCGGCTCTCTCGCTCTCTCTCTCCCTGCGCCGGACCGATTTGCCATCCTTCCCAACAACGAACGTGACGTTCTCTTGCAACAACGGAACGGACGATCTGGGCCGGGGCCATCTCCGATACCACATGCCCTCACCGCGGTGCGACGTGAGCGAAATTCCCTCGACACCCGCCAGACACGCAGCAGCGGATAGCAGATAAGCGACAGACGCCCACCATGGTCAGGCTCGCGCAGTAAAACAAAACGCCATCCGCGCATCACAACATTCTACGGGATCCCCATCGCCGCCAGAAGAAGAAAAAAAGGAGAGCAACGGGCCGACCGCACAGGATCCGTGCTGGCGATCGCCACCGTTCGCAGCACCGCAGCAGCAGCAAAACGCCGCCGCTTCAAAATTAATGCGCCGAGCCGCCCCCACGTCGTAATCGACACAGACAGAGGCGAAGAGGACAATCGCTATCGTGGGAATCTTGATTGACCTTTGTGACATCGCGCCGGCGATCTTACCTGGGAACCATTATTACAAACGTTGTGCGAGCCCAACTCCCACCGCTCTTTTTTCCGGGGACGCACCGAACAACACACAAGGCAATCGCCGGGGCTTCGCAGCACCAGCAGCGGGAGCAGGAAACATGTCGGGTCGCAGCGCATATGTGCGCAAGAAGATCACGCAGACCAAGGAGGGGGACAGGGCGGCCGGCGTGCGCAGCAGGGCCAAATCCAGCGCCAGCTCCGACAATGCCACCATCAGCGAGTATCCCATCGATCACATGCCGTCGCGCCACGATGGCGGCGGCAGGGATGGCGGCAGGCACCGGGACATCACGGGCGTCGGGACCACAAACGCCCGCTTTCTCAAGTTCTCGGAGCCGGCCCGCGAGAGCGAGGTGCTCAACTACCAAAACGACATGACCAGCTATGGCCATCACAGCGGCGGCAGCCAGAGCGGTGGGTCGAGCATAGACGGGAGGCGGGAGACAGGCGGCCCCTCGGCGCACTCGCACAGCCGCCCCCTGGAGGACTTTGCCTACGCCCGCGCCAGGAGGCCGGCCATCAAGACGGAGGACGTGTCGGGGATTGAGAAGTCGGGGTTCCGTAGCATCCTGGACAAGAAGAGCGACGGCGTGCGCAAGGGCATTGCGAAAGCTTTCACCTTCAAGGGCAAGGACAAGAAATCCCCAGACGCAGAGAGGATGCCCGACTTCCGGCCCATGTCGTCGGCGACGGTTCGGCCGAACCAGCCGAACCCCGTCAACTACTCGTCATCGGGAGACCTGCAAGACGGGTACGACGCCGATACCTCGCCCGTCTTCTCCGGGTCGTCCCAAGCCAATCCCTGGGATGACAGCGGAAGCCTCGTCGCACCGCCGCCTTCCTCAAAACTGCCGCCCATCCCCGCCGCCGGCAACACGCCCCCGATCAAACGCTGGATCGGCGCTGGGCGACCCGTGCAGCGATGGAACAAGCTCCGAAAAGACCCCGAGCTCTGGGATCCCAACGGCGACGTGCTCGTCTTCTTTGGCCACAAGGGCCAAGTGCCACGGCCAAATCCCTCTTTTCGGCTGTCGTCGCACATCATCGAGGCGACCGAATCGCGCTATCTGATTACCTTGTTGCGCGAGGGCTCTACCGAGGAAGATATCCACATGCCGCCGTCGCCGGTCGGTGCGCCCCCCATGCTCCATCAACGGCACCACGGGGGCCAGCATCTCCACCCCCAGGGGGGCTACGCCGGGCGCGGCGGGAACCCGACGCCGCCCATCTCGGAAGACAACAGCATGTGGGAGCAGGACGGCCAGATCTCGTACGAAATGTACTTCCCGACGCCCTCCAATATGACCAAGCTCGACCAGATTCGCCACCACATCACCACGCGCAACGTCTTTGCCCTGCTGTACCACGCCTCGCTCGTCGGCCTCTCCCTGTACCAAGCGCTGGCCGATCTGCACTCCCGGCTCGAGTCCTACATGCCGCCCGAGGCCGACAACGTGGGGACCATTCTCAACTATCTCTCGGCGCGGGGGATTGATGACGTGCGCAACGACGCCGAAACGGCCGTCAGCATTCTGGC